CAGTTTCGTTTTACGATTCATGCGACTCTGATGTAGCTATATGAATCTGTTATTTTAGTACAGCGCATGCAGAGTTTCAGTATTTTTTATACGTTCGTCGACGTTGCAATATAAATTCTAAAATGACCTCGTGCATCATGATAGTCCTCTATTCGAGAGATGAGAAAAAGAATATTTTAATATAAAATAATGTATATGTTGCATAACTTTATAAAACTCTCTTACTTTTCTAAAAACTTTGTGAAAATACAATTTAATCTTCTTAATTGTGTAAGATTCTCGTAAATTCATGAAAGAATCACATGATCGTGTACTCCGAACTAATTAATCCCGTTTTTTTCGCGTACTTTGCTTTTCTTAATTATCGTATAATAACAATCGCGTTGTCTATTCGGAGAATTGTCAAATTATATCTATTATTATATCAATAACAAGAAAATCGTCAGGCTAATATAATTGCAAGCCAAAAATTACGTGGCAAACGGCTGCGTGCGCGTCATAGCGATATCTCGATCGACTGTTGCGTCATTCAGAGTCTATTCGTCAGAATGTGTCGTGAATGGCCTTCGGCTTTGACGTTATTTCGTCGATACCTCTTCCGAGAAGCATCGGCCGAGTGAACGGCCGTGAGCGCGCGCACAGTGCGGGTACAACTTGTGTATTTCGATTATCAGTCAGTTAGTCATCGTTAATCACGTCGGTGAGTTTGATCACGTCGCGCCTCCGCGATCTTCAGTGATATTGGATCGAAATAATTCGTCCGGTTTGGATTTTCGTACAATTGGAAACGGGGTAAAGTGAATCACCACAGAACGCGCTTTTCTTCGCTTTCTTCAAAATTATGTCAAAATTATGCAAATTAATGCGCATTTTATTTGTGAATTTTTCTTTTTTGACGCAGACGTGACTAAGAAATCGTTTTTAAATTAATTAATTTTAAATATACAGGTTTTGACGAATCAAGTTTGAACTAGCTGCATATAAATAAAAAATATAAAAGAGACAATCATGCTCTTCCCTTTCGGCTCTACCTTTAACTTCAAACAAATTCCAGCTTAGCAAAGTTTTAGTTTGTGGTTTAATTTGGTGACGTTTAATTTGCAAGTACGGAAAACAATTGAATAGTGAAGAATTGTGAGAAAAGATTAAACGACGAGATATTAAAATCGAATGTTCTTTCGTTAATTTTAAGTAGTAGTTTCTTAATTGTTTTTTAATCTAAAGATTAGTTACGTATCGAACTTTCGTTGCGGAGAAATTAATGCAAACTAAGTAGCAAATGGATAAACGGAAGCGCGATGAAACTTACGTAGCCGCAAGCGATGGATAGAGATCTCAATCAAACGTTATCAGATAAAATGAAAGGAAGTAGAAGATTTTGCGCGAATAATTTGAGACTTTTGTTTGGACAACCTTCAGGTTGTGGAGATTAACGCAAAGTGCTGTAAATTCCGCGTTTCGCATGTTGTTACTGACGCCAGCTGTTATCGCCGTGTTATTGATACAAACGTGATGAAGTACACGTACGCTGCGTTTCCTCGGTTTTTTGTACGACACGCCCATTTTACATTTCAGAAGACAATACGGACGGCGTCCGGTATATTTCGCCGCGATTCGGACAGACGTGTCAGGAATGCCGTTCGATCGGCGTAGTAGATTCCACTTCGACGAAATAAACGCGATTGAATGAAAAAGTTTGCATAGATAAAATGTAGATTAGATAAAACGTCATGCGGATTGCGACATTGTGGGAAGAACCCGCTTTCCTATATCGGGTATCTACGTTCTCGACGTAAATTCTTTGATATAATTTTTTTCACATCGGGAAAGGTCAGGAAAGTCCGGCGGATCGCGCCGACATAACCGACACGCAATCTCGCTCGGCTACTCGGTCACGCACTGATTTCAACGGCTCGCATTTATCGGGGGCAGGACACGCACGGTGATAACGCACATTTACTTTTTTCGTAATAATCATGTGTCAACGTCGCGCTGAAAAATGCGCGTTCGTCGGCTCCGTTCATTATCCTCGCGTTCGTTCACGCCGCCCGCGCCGCCGGGTGGAGGCCACGACCAGGTCGTATGCAACAAATGACGTCATTCTCCACGCATGGCATCGCGCATCGATTAATTAATTTCCACCACGTGTTTACCTTAATTACGCGTGGCTAGACGCGATGCCGCACGCGCCTGTGGTTTCCGTTGATTAATGACGCACCGTTAGCACGACATTTTTGTGTGCATGCTATTCTTCTGCATTCTCCACAATACTGCATATGTCTCTTAACTCTCGACCGGCGACCGGGCTCGAATGTTTCGCATTCTGCCCATTAACTCGTGAAAAACAATTTACGAAAAAATTTAGCTTATTTTAACAGGAAAACAGTAATATTCATGATACTTTGCTGCAATGACATATATATTCTCAAAATGAATTCTAAAGAATATAAATATTAGAAGAATGCTAATATTAGAAAAATGTTCCATTATTTTAGAAAAATTTGTGTGAGTATTTTTAATTAACTTAATTACACATGTAAAAAGAGATTCTTGTTAGTATTTCCAGTTCGTTCAGCTACGTGTAAACTTGATTCTCATTCGTAGCGAGAAATGTATTATTTCGCAATCCTGCCAAGCCCTAAAATTCGATCGGGATAGGGGTGAACAACCCTCGTTCGGAAGCGACCGTCGTGGTTTGAAAAGCATGCCGGACCTTGCCCAACCGATCTCTCGTAGAAGCGCCAGACAAGGGAGAATATGAGTGAAGAGAGAAACGCCGAGTATGATTGTCGTTGCGTGTCATTTGAAACGCGGGGATGGGTTTCATCCCAGTAACGTGCATAGTGAACGCATCCCGTCGAAGCCCCGCGTCTGACCGTTACGTGCCCGTAACTACGTTTAATTTAATTACCGAGTGTTCATAAAGGCTCCACTTAACACAGTATTCACGTTTCACAGTAAAGACGTTTCTTTCACGTCCGCTTGCATCACGCGGCTAACCACATTCATCTTTTTCTACTTTGTCTTGCACGATATTTAAATAGCAATTTTTCTATTCTCGTCTACAAACACGCTTGGGAAAGGCAATGAAAAGAATAAAATGAATAACGGTTCTTTTAACATCGGAGTAATTTCAGTAGTTAGGAAATTATTTGACATTTAATATTTAAAAATTTTGTTGAATTAAGTGTAAAAATGTATAATTGAAATTTTGTCTCCGAAAGTCTGAATTGACGTTCGCTCAATTAGCAACTAAATACAGGGAATTCAATGGCATCCTGGGATTACATTTAAACGATCCGATTGTCCTAGGTTTGTGACATATTCGCACAGCACTAATTCCGGGATAAACCGGATGTAACTCTCATCCATACTGATAAACGACACATTTCGTGTGAGCGCGGCTTAACAAATAATTCGGCTAAAGTCGATGTTCGTTGTGTTGTCCAGGCAACGTACCCGAGCGCGGTCGATGCCTCTTCTGTTATCATCCGGTCTCTGTTTCTCTCATCTCCTCTTTCTCTCTGTCTCTCGTTCATCTCTTTCCACCTTTCTACCTACTGTCCAGCCCTTTCTCTCATCCGGGCCCCCATTATTCCCGTTCACCTAGCCGATATTTGCAGGCGTGGCACCGTTAGTTAATTGAGAATCGTATTCCTTCAAGTCAATAAAAATAGAAGTTATCAAAATTATTGTTGGTCTACTGCGATTTCACGTTTTAAAAGAATGGCCATTTTCTTTTAAATCGTTGCCTTATTAATTCAGATAGAAATTTTTTTAGCAAATTATACAAACTATTCGATAAATGAGATGATCATTAAGTCACGAAATCTCTATTGGAAATGAAATGGTACGTATCGCACTAAAGTGAAATGGTATGTATCGTCTATTGCAAATGTCAAGCATTTCTTCACGGAATGATTTACGTTGTAAATGAGTAATAAGTTCAAGCCGTACGGACAGTTCCTGCCTTCCGCATTCATTAGCATTAGTTAACGTGAAAGCTGCCGGCCAACACGTGCATAACTAATTACTGTTATCGTCCATCTTTTTCCGTCAAGGTCGCTTGAATCCATGAATAATTACAAGCGCGAAAACCGCGCGAGAGTCTTTCCATAACAGAGAACTGTAATCTCTTTGCGGGAATCGAATAATGATAAAAAAACACACCAATATAAAACACATCACAGAAACTTATATATGGTCAATCCTAGCGAATTAATATAATATAATATAAAATTATTTACCGTCGATGAGAGAGAGACTGCATCGCAAAAATCAATCGCGATGTCGTCGCGTAACGAGCAGAAATGCAATCCACGTGGATAATTCGACGATTAACGACAGACAGGACGGACTACGGTCATTCATTAACGGCAGCAGACAGACAGGCGGTGCATTAGCGATCGCGTGGAACACGTTATATTGTTATCATTCTGTCTCTCTCTCTCTCTCTCTCTCTTTCCGACTCATCCTTTTCTTTCTCGCGCGCCGCGCGATCAGGAGCTATCGATCGGCGAGAGCGGCCGCGTCCCCTCACTTCGCATCGTCGAGCAACGTACGCGACTCGTTTCATCAGGGTCGACCTTACGCAAGGAATGACGCAGTTGCCGCGAGGGAAAAAAAAATATTCTCCCTTCTCGTCTATTGAGACTTTGGACAACATCCGACTTTCAACTCGGGTATGTACTTTCTAGCCTAGATTATCGCCAACCTCCCACCTTCGTCGCGCGTCTCGTCCCGTTCCCCCTCGTCCAGCTGCTGCCTACTACGCTCGCTCCACGTGGCGCAGGCGTGGGTTTGTTGTCTCTCCGTCGCGCTCGCCCTCGGAGCACTCGGATCGCGGCGACACACTCCGTTTCTCTCGCGCGCGCAGACGGACTTTCCGCGCCCAGCCTCCCTCTCGCCCTCTTCGCGCCGCGCGACGCCGACTCCGTCACCGTCGGCGACCGAAGCGGTCGGTGCCGAGCCGACGGCCCCGCGCGCGCTGCATTTATTGAACCGATTTCGTTCTCCGTCGCGGCGCGCGTCCTCCCAACGCTTATCCTCGCCTCTCGCGTTCCCGCTCGCCATTTGTCATCCCTTCCTTCGTATGCTCGTCTCGCGCGCCTCCAGCCTCCACCCCGTCCCTTTAACCTTCTTCTCGAGAGCTTTCTCCCGTCCGTTCGTCCTCCTATCCGTCGACGTCCCCGTTCGTTCCCGTATATTTGGAGCGTTTCGGCGAGTCATCGTCGCCACGTACGGCACGCACGGTGTTACCCATAGCTATATTAAATATAGCCCGCTGTATCCTGATACGGCGGGCACACGTGACACGCGAAGAGCAGCGTCTTTACGCTCACGACCGACGCGACGTTCCGATGCAATCTGAATTTATTTTCTGAAATAGATTTTGCGCGAATTGCGACTTAATCTCATTCCTTTTCGCTATACATAAAGACGAAGCATCTTGAATAAATTCATCTGTGTGCGTTACTTATGAATTAATTTTTCAAATGTGCCTTTACAAACTCCAATTCATTTTTCTGCCTAATTAATATCTGTTTGTGCTTTGTTTTTGCAAAGTATGTGTATTAACTTGTTCAGATCTTAATCAGGACCCACCGAAGAAGCGCTATTAAAAATTCTGGGAAAATTTTTGTGAATATCAATGGATCGGAAGAGAATAAAAATATCGACTGTTACAGTCGGATCCGATGTAACTATCTAAATGAATCTTCAAATCTGGATAACAATAAAGCATGAAATTAATTATGTATTATAAGCCAACCGTCCAAATATTGGCAGTCACGCAAACTTCTATAAACCCCAGCCGGTCTTTAATAACCTAACAGAACTTCGAACTACGGGCCTCGCGCATATACATGGACCGAAGTTCTGTATTTGGAAATTGATCCTCGCGCAGTGTAATTATACATAGTCGCGTAAATACGTCTCCTCTTACGGTCATCGCGGCGTTGGATGGTAATGGTGGTCGTGCACGATGACCAGGATCGATCGTTCGTCCCGGGAACTAGCATCCATGACGTCACTCTACGTCACCAGTCCCGAGAGCAGGAATGTGAAGACGGGATCGTGATTCGGTGCAAACGCGTCGTTTTCCGCTTTTTTCCCCGCAAAGCATTGCGCGGATGCGGTTGGTAGCGAAATCAGAGCTATTCGAGAACGTTTGATGCGATAGAATGACGCGACGTTTATTTGCATTTATTCGTGTTTGGATGGCGACGAGAATACCATCCGAATAGCGGACGGAAATACCAGTCCTCTTTTTCTTTTAAGTTTCAAGATTGCCTTAATGTTGACAGTCCGCTCGAAAATATACCGGCCGCGACGCCCCGATTTCCGCTTCGACTCCGCTTCTAGCGCACGCCTGCGCGCCAGGAACATGCATACATACAAACGACTCACCTGTGTAGACCTTCGTGGTTCCATCATACGGCGGGAAGGGCGACCACGGTCGAGATGGCTCTTTCCCCAGCTGCGCAACGGCCAAGACCTAGGGCACGCTTCGTCGACGGCAAACGTTTATGTACGTTCCTTCTTCTCGTCCCCTTTCGTCTCGCGTTATGCCGCGAACCGTGTCGGCGAACTCGTGAGCACAATTACGCGACGCGACGTCACTCATGCACGAACACCATGCCACCCTCCTCTCTTGATTCTCCATATCTCCCCTTCGCTTCGCCTGGCCGCTCATTGTTTTCAATCGTGCGCGTGTCCCTCGTCTTCGGGTCGAAAGAAACCAAATTCTGAAACAATGATATTCGTTTAGATCAACTTTGAAACTAATTCCAAATTTCGAGAATTAATTTTTCAATGTAGGACAATTTAGTCCCTTTTCACTTATTTATTTATTTATTTTAATCCATCTACTTATACATCATGATTCTTTGAAACGTGGAGGGACCTTGGCGCTTTCGCGATGCAGCTGCCTTTGTGTATAATTTTGCGGGAGTTCCTGGAATATATATTCGCGTACTGTACAGTGCGGTTGCGACATAGGTAGATATATTGTCTGCGTATCCCGCCGGATCGTACTAGACGGTTAATTAATCCTGTCTCCTATAGCTCCGCGAAATTATTATTAGACGACGCGAGGGCGGTGTAGTGTGATACGAAACGGATTGCGATGCGGCATCGCGCAAAGCGGCTTCGAGAATCGAGGGAAACACACGCGTCGTTTGTCGCCATTGCTCCAAAGACGCGTCGTCGTCGCGCCGATTCCACGAGATTAACGCAATTCAGAAATTAATCAGGACTCGCGAAGGGTTCATTAGCTTGAGGCAATAACGTGCTAAATTACGTGGGAGCAAATTCTATGAAATTCTTGGTTCATTTTCGGAAAGACGCTACAATGCTGACGTATTTCTTTGATTAAGACGAACAGTAATCAAATAGACAAAATAATAAATATAATAATGATAGACATAATTTATTTGACAATTTAGAATGTATTATTTCAAGTCTACAGCAATTATGATTTACAAACATTAAACGATAAAAAGAAAAGGAGATATAACGTGCACACATTAATTAATTAAGCATAGAGGTAATATTATACGCGATTGATTTATATGTATTGTTATATTATGCAGACTGTGGAGTAAAAGAAGATGGTGTATTTATTTACCGTATTATTAGAAAGCCTGATTTGTAATCGCACTTTCGAAAATTAAAATTATTCTGTACGGCACTAAATAAAACATAACCATTTCCGAATCGATATTGCTACTTCGTTGAAAATGTAGCTTACTAAATGCTCGCAAGTCGACTATCTCATTAAAGTTATCCCGCTCCAGAATTATCACAGCTGCGCATAATAAAAGATGTATATACGAGGAAAGAAACGCAGGCCGTTGGGAGGACATTAAGTATCGACCGTTTATCGAACACGTTCGCAGCAGCGTTACGCCGTTATACGTACATTAAATACACGATTTCGTTGCGGCGCGCCGGCGGCTTGGCCCACGGGGGAATTCGCGCGACATAACAAAGAAGTTTCGCGAGCAGTAAGCGAGCCGAAGGACTCCGCGGACGCGAGTCGGCGCGAAAACGTCGGTGAAGAAAGAGAGGGACCGCCGAGACCGCGGAGGGTAGTGGCGGATCGTAAAAGGAGGCTGCGAGGGGCGGCGAGGGGAGGAAGGAGAGGAAGTCGCGGATCGGAACGGAGCGAAGGCGTAGGCAGCGTGGACTCCGAGAGAAAAAGCCTGCCTCGCGAGGGGGTTGGCGAGGAAACGGGACGGAGACGCGAGGACGATAGACAAGGCCGGATTTAGATGCTTCGTTGCCCGGGGCCCCTCCCTCGAAAACCAGCCCAAGACGAGCGAGAACGCGCGGCGCGAAGATGATACACGAGGCGATACGAAGTGCACGCGACCGATCCCGTTTCAAGTGTGCGGTATCTCGCGATTGGGACTATCGCGATAACAGCACCACCGCGACAGTCTTTCGCGAGCGAGTGTCAATTGAGAGTTCCAGAGCGTTAATTAAAATTTTTATCGCAAGTCGAAAATCTTTTCGCTCAAATTATATTAATGAAAGAATGATTCGTCCAAAAATTATCACTCGGTCACATCTCCGATCGATTGAATCGATCACAGAGTGATATCAGTTACATTTATATTGCGTAGACTTGTATTTTTGAACGCATATTCGGTATTCATTATTATAACGGTAGATTTGAAATAAAATTGATTTCTCAACAGAGGCCAGGCATGCAAATATATGCGGAAACATTTGAAAGATAAGAAGTCAAATACCATATAACGAGCTTTCGAAGAGTGACTAGCAACAGTGTTGCACCTTTTCTTTTATTCAGCTTTTATTCAAATTATAAACATTTTAAAAACGTTCGTCGAAGGGTCTCGATTAACGCTCATTGTCAGTCGTCATGCAAATATATTTAAGACTCGACATTATTATAAAGCTTGATGAAAAGTAACTGGTAATTAAGTTTCTGTACGGCAAACCAATTATTCTACAGACTCGCGTATCGCGTATCTTGAAACGTTTCAATAAGTTTTAAAATTAACTCGGAATCGTACGCGCGGTTGTCCGTTACAATGCAGATTAACTTTAATCTCGATTCGATTTCTTTTTTATCTTTCTTCAATTCTTAAGGCGCCTCTACGTAAGTCACAGTTCGCGAAACGCATGCAAGATACACGCACAGTCTACATATCAATCTAACCTCGCCTTTGGGATAATCAAATATGTCAAATCATACGAGAGTTGCGTCATATACACGCCTTTCGAAAATTCGCGCTCGCGATTCGCGGGTATCTTTCGAAAGGTCTATTTACGAGAAAAGGAAGCGCATATTTCCTTACCTGCGACACAATTGCGTGTCGCAAAATTCCACACCCCTGAAGAAAAGGGACGAAGGCAGGAGTCCGAAGGCGAGCTGGCGAGCCGCGCGCGCGACGGATGCCAATGAGGTGATTCCGGGAAGGGGAGAGATGGTAGCGGGGGAGCCTCCGTTACCGCGCGTGTGTGTATGCACTGTGTGTAGTGTGTGCAAGCGCGAGCTACGGAGGACGAGGGGGCGGGAGAGAGACACGGAGAAAGACGGAGCGCGTCGTGTATACGTATCGGCGGGACGCGCGCGCGCGCGCGCGTTTGAGTGAGGGAGGCCGTACGCGGCGGGAATCGTCCCTCTCCGTAGAGCCCGTAGTACTACGCGGGACGCTACGCGAACGGCACGTTACACCGTTTCCCCAATCCCCATTTCACTCGGAGCGAGAGCGGACGCTGTTGACCGCACGTACGCCCGTGCGTTCGTTCACAGACGCACGCGCGCGCGCGCGAGTGTTGTCCCGAGAGAGGAACCGCCGCGGGAGCAGATCGGACTCCGGACACGAAAGCGCGCCATTTCGCGGCGCGTCGTCCAACGGCCGGGTGTGCTTTTCGTCACGCCTCGCCGCTTTCCCGTGTTTACATTTGGCGTCCGCCTGCGCGCGCGCGCGAGCCGTGTCTCGCTTCCCGAGCATTCGAATTTGGGTGGCGGGGACGTTTCGGTAGATTATTACGCGGAAAACTTCACCGTGCGCGGTCGATCGCCGACTCGGAACGGCTCTCGCTGAACGACAACGAAGAACGCGAAGTTCGCCGACGGGGAGGAGGAGGAGGAGGAGAAGGAAGAGGCTGAAGTTGCCGCCTGAAGCGTAAGTGCCGAAGTTGGTCGGCGCGGCGGGCCGGTCCGCCACAGGTCCTCGGCAGTTTTCGGCGCTCGTCGTCTCGGCACTGTCGGCGGCCGACCGAGGACCGAGCCGCGTTACGACGCGGTACGAAAAATCACAAGGGTTAGTTGACCCGGCGCGCCGTCGCGTCACGTACGTTTCTCGCTCTCTCACGACCGCGACGATCCAAGTGCGACTTCGCGTGGGAAATACTACGCACCGCGCGCCGCGACTTGATCGATGCACGTGTGTCGTGTGCGTCGCGTCGTGCCGAACGACGCGAGTGATAAATATCCCCTCCGATTTATCTCTGGGTCTCTCCGCGGTCGGCGGTAGTTTACTCCGATTACTCCGAAAATCCTAACGCTGCGTCGAAATTACCAGTGTGAAAACGTGCGCGTGCATGTGCGCGTGTATGCGTACGTGTGTATGCATGAGAATACCGCTGTGAATGCGTGTGTATGCATGAGAATACCGCTGTGAATGCGATCGGACAGTGCGTGGACGCTACGTGCTCGGAACCACGTGTGACATCGCGTTCTCACGTTCTAACGTTAAATACGAGGCTCGGTGGCGTGCAGCGCGCCGAAAGAGAGGTTAGAGACGTTCTGAGTCGGTTCCACGCGATCGAACGCTTCGAGGAGATTCGAGACGCTCGGCGGCGTACGTCACAACTGGCGTCGAGCAACGTGAAGTTTGCCATCTTGCCGCCGTTTGAATTCGGAGTACGGTAATAATTCGGCGACGCGGACGGCGCGCCGCGGGGCGGCGCGGCGGTCAGAGTGAAAGAGGCGAAGGGGGCGAGACGTGTCGCGTCGCGAGATCACTCCAATTCCGCCCGGAGTAAAGTAATCTTAACCCGCGATTTCTCGTCTCGTCGGGCGCGCGCGTCTCTCGAGAGCGCGCGACGAGTTCCGGCCGCGTCGTAAACAACGCCGGTGCAATGACCAGCGCGGGGAGCCGTGAGTCTTCTCTTTTACCAGCTGCGTAGTAACGCGTAGTAGAGCGTACGATCCCCTCCCCCCCTCCCCCCGAACCGACATTTCGACGTTCAACATTGCGCAATCTTACGCGCCGGAGGCGGACCTCGGGGACAGAAAACATCGCACGTACCACGTCGACCGACTCGGATTTCCTCGAAATTCTCTCGGTATCGCGAAACCGAACGTTCCACCCTCTCCCCCCTCCCGGCGCTTTTATCCCGTAATTGACTATCGATTAATCCGACACGCGCCACTCCGGAATTGAAATGTCGTGGACCGTTGACATTAAAGATCGGGTTCGGAGTTTATTTTAAAACCGACCTTTTCTCCTGTCGTGCCCCTTCCTGCGTTATAGCGCAGCGGGAGATGAACGAGTCAAATTTTATTCTCGAGGAGGATAGGATGTACCGCGAGCGCGCGCGCGCGCGCACGTCCAATCAAAGTCGTCAGACGGCGGAGGAGAAATCGTAATTGCGACAGCGGGCGACCGTGCGTGACGCAGTATCTTCTTCACTTTTCGTCTTTCGGGGTCTCGCACGAGCGAGCGCTCGATTTCCGGGAATGCTTCGTCAATCGCGCCGTGTGTGGCTCTAGGCACGCGCTCACACGTGCAAGAATGCGCCCCGATTACCTCCTTTATGCGCGTGTCGCGTTCACGGCGTGAGAGAGCACGATGACTTCGTGCTGGCTTTAATTCGCGCGCGTGCATTCCTGGCCCGCATGCTCCTTCCTTTCCCTCCCCTCCCCCCGCCTCCTCTTTCCCGTACGTTTCGTGTTACGCAGCATTTTTTCAAATTTGCATTCGAGATAACGGTTGAAAGTAATGACGCGTTAAATTTCAAAGCGATGAGACATGCCTGAAACCTGTAGCGTTTCGACTTACAATTAGAGCGCGATCTTTCTTCGTCGAAGGTGAACCGCGCGCGAATTTCGGATCCGCGCCTCTCCCTCTCTAACTTTCGCGCCGAATCTATCGATTATTATTGGCTAGCAATCCGCGGTTTCGCGAAGACCAGAAAGGCCGGAGCTGTCGTGAAACGCTCGTTTCGCTCGAGTCGAGCTACGGGGCCGGCAAAAACCGCACGCTTCGTCGACCGATCGGAACGGACTCTCGTTCTCGGAACGCGGGAATTTCTAAGACTCCCCGAGGAAAGGAAAAAAATGCGGCGAGATAACTAAGCGCCGATTTACGGGTGGCCTGTTATTTAATTTCGATCGAAGCGACTCAATATTTCGAGCGTCGTCGTATATCTCGCTGACGCTTAGTCGTATTTGTCTCGTAAAAATTTCATTCAACAGTTTATATCGACTGCCGGATAATTAGCTTTTAATAATCGTGGGGTTTTTAACAATCCTGAGATACGTTATTTTCGGAGCATAATTGCAAAATCGACATTTTCGGCGAACTCTCCCGTCAATCTCGTTTACCTTTTCTCGCTGTCGCTGTTACTCGCGAGCCATGTGCATCGCACGCAGTTTATCGGATCGTAGTTTAATCGATAAAAGCTGAGTTAAGTCTCATCGCGTTATTTGCGACGCAGTAGGTAGTAGTTCCGTTCGCGACTCGCCTACGCCTTGGATTTTTTTTTTAAATCTCTGCGAAAGATCCACCGTCGTTCTCGATCGCCTCGACTCCTCTAAATTCACGTATAAGTATTATCTATTAATAGTTAATAACTTTATCTAATCTTCGACTTCTGACATTGAATCAACATTATTATCTAATCAGGTATATAGGAAAAATCTTGGAGCGCAACGAGAGTCTTATTTCGTTTCTTCGATCTTACGATTTAGGTTTCAAGTCCAATTCGGGATTGAACGTGGACGAAAACCGAAATCGATCCTCGATCTTCTCCAATAAGACGCGGACGCGTCGCGAGAATGCGCGTAAACGCGCTGGCGCCCTTCGTGAAACGACGCGGATGACAAAAACTCGTAATATCGCGTCGCACTTGGCACGGTGAAGAACACGCGTCCCCATTTTCCGCGAACTCGCGACGTCGGTGTGTACCGAACGCGGGGTGTGTACAACCGTGTGGGGAACTGTGCGTGAATTCTTGTGTGCGCGCGCGAAACGAAAATCGCGCGACGAGTCGACGACGTTTCGCCGCGGCATATCATCGCCGTTCGGCGCAACATGGATTACCAGCGGCTCCTGCCCAACAACAACAACAACAATTATCCCACGCATCACCGTGAGTATCCAAACCATCTCTTGTCCTAACTCACCACGTGGCGTGATTATTTCCGACTCGACACACCCACCGAAGATATCGCGCGTTATCTGATCGCCTTTCCCGAGAGAAAAAAAAATAAAAGAAAAATAACATTCATTATCATCGCTATATTCGTTACGAATTATGAGGAGCCACGTAAGCACGGCTATCGAAAAAAGAACGTTGTCATTACGAAACTCTCTGTCTCTTTCGAGAGTGCAGCTTTATCTTTTATCGTCGTGTTTTTAATCTTAACTAACGCATTATTTTTATTTATCGCGCATCTCTCGATATAGGCGACGTGACTTACGAGAAAAGGAGGGAAAAGAATCCTACGTGCAAACTGCAATGCGTATAGATATACGTTTCGTCTCGCACCGGACAAATGGTGCCGTTCGTGGGCGTCGTCGATTGACGCGAACACCTAGCGAGAAGTCGACGATGCGTCGCGACGCTCCGCGTCGTGCCTCTCTCAGTTAATTTTTCGCCGTAGGAGGCGTTTGTATACAGAGCAATCTCAGATTTTGATGACACTTATTTTTCCCCTTTTTATCTTAACGATATATTGTATTTCTTGCAGAGATTTCTGTACGTGTATGCGTTTATTTCTTTTGAGATATATATGTGTAAGTTAGTTATTTACTATATCTTAAATTTGAATCGTGGAGAAGCTTTAATCACGATTTTACTCTTATGAAATGAAGAAAGATTGTTTTTCTGAAAGTTAAAACTCTGAAAACTACAGTTGATTATTATTTATCGATAAATGATAAAATTCATTAAGATTGAAATTAATAACTTACCTAACGAAAAAGGGCTTAGAACCGTAACGTGATGTTTGTATCGGCGATAATTATATTTTTCTGTCTGAATTTTTGTATAATTATTCCAACTCAGTGAATTGCGCGTCGATTATTTTTTAAATTAATATATTTAATAAATTCTATGTATTATAAACAATTACAATATAGGCAAATGAGAGCCAAACCCCCGGTAGCAAGGCGACAAATCTAACAGTATTTAAACACTTATATAACGAACAAGGATGGTCCAAAGCGAAGGACCGAAAAGTTTGATTGTTCGTTATATAAGTGTTTAAATACTGTTAGATTTGTCGCCTTGCTACCGGCGTTTTGACTTTCATTTGCCTATATTGTAATTTTTTGTTATTGCGACAGCTTTAACCTTTTATTCTATGTATTATATCTCTTAAATCCCACGCAAATATATAAAGTCAGTAATATACGATAATGTACTGATTTCATATATTTTTTTGTTGCTTTATTAATGTATTTTGACGTTTGTATTTTATGTCATTTTATCCTAATCTATTTTTCGTCGATTTCAAAGTCATCAAAATCTGGGCAGAAAAATCGTAAATAAATAAACTTTCTTTCGACTTTGTGAGATCTACGTCCGTTTAGATTTTTCGTATTTCAAATTCGGAGTATCGAGGCACCACTGTAAGAATTGCTGGCACAGGTGGACCACGATGTTTCGAGAAAAATGTTTTCTCACAGAAAAATTTTTCGCGTTATTTTAGAAAATGATCAATACATCGATATCGCTCGCTTTAATGATATCGGTTTGACATCTTGTTGAAAAGTAATAGGTTTGTTGGCTATCTTGTAAAGTATATTTATACCCGAAATCAAATTGCTGATCCAAGCTGGAACTAATATCGAGGATTCGAAAATACGAATGATAATTGATTCGTGTTTTGTAAACAGTTTCGACGATATGATAAAAATATATTTTTACCATCGTAATCTAAAACGTACACTTACATTTATACATTTATATTGAACGCCACCGATAGATTCAATACCCTTTAATTTTATGAGCGGTTTTATCCACGAAACTCACGCACACTTGATGTTTCAAAACTATGTGGCGTAATTCATTTACAGTTTCGATCTATTACTATTTTAATCAAATTTATTATTATTATCTTTTGAAACTATTCGTATAACGAAAGTTTGACTCTATTTTTTTATCCATTCGTGTCTGTCATTTTTATCCCTGTTATCGACTTGCTTATTTCTTGTTCTGCATTACTTCCGTAAACATATATTTAAACATATAAGTTTAAACATTTTCTCAAAACAATGTTGTGAACGGGTCGAATAATCAACCATACTTCTATCTAGCGAGAATAGTCATGTCTTGCGAGTATCAATTTATTTTCAATATTTCCACGTGATAAAAAACACACAGCCGTTTCAGGAATCAACGGGACATTTGATTGCGACCCCGAGATTCCATTGGCGTTACATGATCACGATTTGTTTTCTACACACCGTATATTTTTTTCCCGTCCGAGTTTTCGATCGGTCCGGGTATAGCATCGCGTGAACGCTGGATCTCGGTTTTGAGAAAGGGTGGAAGGAGAAAGAAAGGACAGATCGGTCGTTGCGTAAAAAGCTCCTTGTGATATATTCCATGGTGGTCCTTGAGCTGGCTTTCGCAACGATGGGATCTTCGATTGTAACGTTTAAAATGTCTTTTTAATGGGGACCGGTGCGTCCTTGGCTAACGGCCGGTTTGTCGCGTTTCTGCGTAGAATGCGATTCAAATTTCGCGTAAGGAATCGTGATTGCGTCGACCATCGATCGATGTTTTCGTGTTCATCGAATTCGCTTCAAATGCGAGAGATTGTCGCGCGCAAATTTTGCGGTTACTTAAATCTCCGGCTAGGATAGACCACGTGAATTTCCCCGCAAGTCGTTTTTCGCACTTGGAATTTCAATGTTTTGTTATTATTATCATTTAATTCTCAGAGTAAAAAATCCAATTATTTTTCTGATTAAAACGATTTATGTTAAATTTCCTTTGAATCCGTTGGAATTAGAATTTGGGAAACATAAAAAAAAGTTTTAATGATTATTAAAGACTAAATAAAATTAATGAATTACTAATGAAAGAAATTAATAATTAATTTTAGTGTATCACGAAATTAGTGGATAAATTTTTGGTTAGCAACTTATGTATACAAAAATTTTAAAAAGAGAAAAATATAGGTTTCTTTAAAATTCTCCTTCGTTTCTAATGGAGTAATCTTCCACTTGTGTTCTTTAAAAATCTAATTTTTTTCCGACCGCTTGTGGCGTTAATTTCGACAAAAGAAAATCACATCTGCGAAAGACATTTGCCACGAGTCTCATTACGAACTGGCTTTCTAAGTTCGTTAATGCGAGCAGGAGTAATGCGCGATCGAAGTTTTCACGTAATACGTCCTTGAGGAACGTGAAACTCGTTTGTCAGTGTGCAAGACAGAAGGGTTGATAGATTAGCGGTGGAGAACAGTGAGCGGTTGCTCAGCTTGTTGCTGAAAAGTTGTTTCATCTGTCAAATTGCATCATTCCGATCACAATACCGAGGATAATAAGATCCATTTTGGCAAATTGGAGATTTAGTTTTCGGTAAAGCAGGCTTCGTAATACTTGAAACGCTCGAAAACGCAATTTGCGCAGAGCCCTCGAATGTCTCGTGCGGACCGACTTGTCTCCGGAAGTCGACAATGGCACGGTTCGTAAAGCGATGAGGATGAAGACCATCGCGGCCTGAACGAATCGCTTCTTTTTTTTTTACCCGGGACGGACAGTGATTTTGGCGTACGGCCAGTCGTCCTTGTTCGTTGCCAGAGAGGAGTATCGGTCGGCGACTTTGTTTTTTTGGGAGTGATTGTAAAAGCCCGTCGCATCTCCGGGATTAAATTGACTCTGCCTCGTAAATCCCTTACTCGATTATCAGACAACTACGTGATGCTGATGTAATTTTCGGTCGGCTGGCGCTTCTCCTCTCCTTAAATCCTCATCCTCGAAGGCTCTCTGAACGATCAATAATCACTGTCAATGTCCTGATGCGAAGATGGCTATAGCTTGCAGTACTTTCTTGCCGTGAAATGCAAAAGTCGGCACGTTGGATGTCGACGAGGCATTTGCATACGGTTCCGCTTCTTTTCTTTTCTCTCTGTCGAGCAATATCGGTGAGACGACGGGCGGCTTAATGAGCAACGTCAATGGGTCAAACGAGCGAAATAACGAGCGATACGAACCGATGTGAGGCACGCATTTCACAATGATCTCGGCGCAGCGATGGTATAGAAAGGAAGGGAGAAAGAGATATTGCAGTCTGCGATCGGTTGGCAATGATATCGGGTTATGGCTCGTGATTACACCTCTCGGACCGGACCATCGCCCTTTATTTATGCAAGCCCGCGAGACGCATGGCTAAGTTATGTAGTGCCGGATATCTTTATAATATTCCACCGTGAAAAAGTAACAACTCACAATCAGTCTCACGGAAACCAACTTTGTCTCACAATTACGTGATCTTTTCCTTCAAGGTTATCGTTTTTCTAGAAATTCGGGCATACCGAAACAATTCGTTTTTCACGGAGAGATTAGATATCAATTGGGGGATTTCTTGATATTTCTCAATTTAATATTAAGTTAGAATATTTTGATTTTTGAGATTCTCTATACAAGTATTTTTCTTTGCTAATTATAAATTGATAAATAAAATGATTTATATATTTATAAGGATCTGAGAAACTTTAAAGGTTTTTCGAAAACATCTACGACATGCCACGATCTCTTTAAAAATTGTATCTTCCGCACGAGTCATAGTTTGTATTTTTGCGGTCAGGATTCATCTCCAGCATTATGAAAGAAATCAGTACTAGAAAGATTAGGACATTTTTTTTTAAAACTTTCTAAAGTTTCTCCTTGTTTTTATTCAGAACAAGAGAAATATTTCGAGAAATTTTACAGATCATATATTTCGTGTTAATTACATGTGTTTTTGTGTAAGGATATTAGAAAGTGGATCGAAATTCATTGCACGCTAATTTCGTAATACAAGATTATTATTAAACGGTAACAAATTATGTGTAGCAATTAGCTATCAAATTCCGGTAATCACGTTGAAGAATTTTTAGAATGCACGAAAACTGAACGAAATGTTAAATATCGGAT